TGATCATCTCATTAGATGCTGAAAAGCTTTGACAAAATCCACCAACCCTTCATGGATACAAAGAGCATACATAAACATCATAAATCCAATATACAGCAAGTAAAGAGCCAACATCAAATTAAATGAAGAGAAATTCAAAGTGATTCCAATAAAATCAGGGACAAGACGAGACTGTCCACTCTTTCCAGATCTATTCAATATAGTACTTGAAGTTCTAGCAAGAGCAATAAGACAACAAAAGGAGATTAAGGAGATACCAATTGGAAAGGAAGAAGTCAAACTTTCACTATTTTCAGATGATATTATACTATATCTAAGTGACCCCCAAATTTGAAGGGGGAACTTCTACAGCTGATAAACACCTTCAGTAATGTGGCTGGATACAAAGTTAACTCAAAAAAAATCAGTAGCCCTCCTATATACAAATGATAAATGGACTGAGATAGAAATCAGAGAAACAAAACCCTTTACAATAGCCACAAATAATATAAAATATCTTGAAGTAATTCTAACCAAATAAATGAAAGACCTATATGACAAGAATTTTAAGTCTTTGAAGAAAGAAACTGGGGAAGAGATCAGAAAATGGAAACATCTCCTATGCTCATGGATTAGTAGGATTAACAGTAAAAATGTTAATATTACCAAAAACAATTTACGGATTCAATGCATTCCCCACCCAACATAATTTTTCACAGACCTCAAAAGAACAATATTCAACTTCATATGCAAGAAACAAAAAACCCAGAATATCAAAAACAACCCTGTACAATAAAGGAACTTCTGGAGGTATCATCATCCTTGATGTCAAATTCTATTATACAGCTGTAGTAATAAAAGCAGTTTGGGATTGGCATAAAAACAGACACATGGATCAACGGAATCTAATCAAAGACCTTGACATAAACCCACACACCTACGAACACCTGATTTTGAAAGAAAAGCCAAAAATATACAAAGGAAAAAAAGAAAGCATCTTCAACAAATGGTACTGGTGTAACTGGATGGCAGCCCATAGTAGAATGCAAATAGATCCGTATCTATTGCTCTGCACAAAACTGAAGTCCAAGTGGATCAAAGACCTCAACATAAATCCAGTTACACTGAAGCTGAGAGTAGAGAAAGTAGGAGTAGCCTTGAATTCATTGGCACAGGAAACTACTTCTTGAATATAATACCAGTAGCACAGACACTGAGATCAATAATTAATAAATGGGACCTCCTGAAACTGAAAAGATTCTGTGAGGCAAAGGACAATGTCAAAAAGACAGAACAGCAGCCTACAGAATTGAAAAAGATTTTCACCAACCCCATATATGACAGAAGACTGACATTTAAAATATATAAAGACCTCAAGAGCCTAGACATCAAAATACCAAATAACCCCATTAAAAATGGGATACAGATTTAGACAGAGAATTCTCAACAGAAGAATCTTAAATGGCCAAGATACAGTTAAAGAAGGGGCCCAAATCCTTAACTATCAGGGAAATGCAAATCAAAACACCTCTGAGATACCATCTTAGACCTGTCAGAATGGCCAAGATCAAAAACACTAATGACAGCCTATGTTGGAGATATTGTGGAGTAAGGGAAACATTCCTGCACTGCTGGTGGGAGTGCAAACTTGTGCAGCCACTTTGGAAATCAGTTTGATGATTTCTCAGAAATTTAAATATCAATATACATCAAGACCCATCAATACCACTTTTGGACATATACCCAAAAGATGCTCAACCATACCACAAGACCACTTGCTCAACTATGTTCATAACAGCATTATTTGTAATAGCCAGAACCTGGAAACAGCTTAAATGCCCCCTCTTCGAAGACTGGATAAAAAAAATGTGGTACATTTACACAATGGAATACTACTCAGCAGTAAATGATAATGACATCTTGAAATTTTCAGGCAGATTGGATGGACCTAGAAAAAAAAAAACCTCCTGAGTGAGATAACCCACACCCAGAAAGACAAATATATTATGTACTCAATCATAAGAGGCTTTTAGACATAAAGAAAAAAAACAGCCTACAGATCACAATCCCAGAGAATCCAGACAACGAAAAAAAGGTCCTTAAGAGAGACATACATGGAACTACATAGGGAGGAGAACAAGACAAGACCTCCTGAGTAAATTGGGAATATGGTGGTGATGGGAAAGAAGCAGAGAGGGGAGGAAGAAAAAGGAGCACACAAAAATGGGTAGCTCAAAAAAAGCAAAAAAAAAAAAAAAAAAAAAGACAAAATTGATGACAAACTAAAAGAAAAAAAAAAGAACTAGTGAAACAAGCCTAAGTTAAGGTTGAACTCTCCTAATTAATAATAAGTCTCCCTGTTGTTATTTGTGGGTTGGTGGCCCAAAGAAAAATCCGACTACAGCTGGACCTCACCAGGGCAACAGTTGGCCCTGGTGGTGTCCGTGTGGGTGAGTTGGCCCTAAGGACTTGAGAGTAAGAAAACTGGCCCTGCCCACTGAGCTTGTTGTATAGGGTGAGATAACTGGGGGCAGTCCTGGAGAGATCACCCTGATGGTAAGGATGAGGAAAAGGGGGCAGGCTGACCAGAACCAGGACTTTGAGTTGACCCACCCCAACATCCACCCCATCTATGATCTGCTGGAGCATGTGAAGGGTCCAGTTCTGCAGACCCAAAGCTGCAAGATCAAAGCTATGGCTTTGACAACTGGTTTCACCCCATTTCTTACCTTTCTGAGAGTCTAGCTTCATGGCAGAGGTACTGGTGGGAGCCATGTTTGTTGTCACAGATATTATGACTCAAGTAGACTTAATAGAGATCCACAGAAGTTGTCACAACTTTATCGAGTTTCAAGGTCCCTGCCGCCATGAAGAAGCATGCTGTCGGCTATTTATAAACACCATTTAAGTGCTTGGTGGTGGGTCCTCTTAAAAGAGCTACAAGGTGTTTGCAGCTAAAGCTGAGTCAGGAAGTCTCTCTTAAATGAGATGTGCTTGCCTCTAGCAAATAAGACCCACCTGAGAAAAGGCTGCTACCAAGAAGCCATGCTTAACTCTGTTCTTTTGTGTCTAGAATTACTTCCCAAGCTCTCTCAGGTTTGATGTGGATGTAGTTGCCCACATTGGCACCTTTTGTAAGTGGAGACTGTTTGTTCATTTCCTGGATGTCTAGACCCAAACAATAACACAGAAACTATATCAATTACAACACTGGCTAATAGCTTAGGCATATTTTTAGCTGACTCTAACATCTTCAATTAACCCGTAATTCTTGTCTGTGTTAGTCATATGACTTGGTATCTTTTATCAGTGAGATATTCTCATCTTGCTTCCTCTGCATTTTGGGTAATGACTGCAGACTCAGCCTTTCATTTCCCCCAAATTCTCCTATTCTGGTTTCCCCACCTATACTTCCTATCTGGCTACTAGCCAATCAGCATTTTATTAAACCAAAACAAATGTCAGATCTTTACAGGGTACAAGACCATTGTCCCACAGAGATCTGCCTGCCTCTACCTTTCCTGTGCTAAAATTAAAGGTGTGCATCACCACACCTAGCTCTAAGCTCTTAGTTCTTTTTCACAAGTTGGAAACTTAGCTGAGCAGGATCTTTCCTCGAGGTCACCACTCCCTTTATTCCGTTTCTTAATCTATCAGCTCTATTCCACTTCCTGGTGCTCATTTTCTCATCAAAAGCAACAATCTGAAGGCATTCAAGGAGCTGATGAAGCAGCTGGGATTCTTGCAGAAAACAGGAATGGTCTGTCTCACTGGGCATAGCTTGAGCATATATGAGACTTCAAAGCCTGCCTCCATAGTGACACACTTCCTCCTACAAGGCCACACATACTCCAACAAATCCACACCAACAAATAATGGCACTCCCTTTGGGGGTCTTTTTTTTTTTTCAAATGATCAAAGATTAGTAAGAATACTAAATGCCACTGAATGTATGCCTTAAAGGATGAATCAGTGCCTTGAAAGCAAGGGTTTCTGACATAAATGCATCTGTCCTGGGACTAACTCCAAAGCTTCTGGCAGCATAGGCAGGTGGGCAAACATCACCAGGATCTAAGAAACAGCCTTGTACAGGGGATCTCATGCTGCCCTCTGCCCTTTGTGGGCACCAGGCAGGTACCTGGTGCACAGACATACATGCAGGTGAAACACCCACATACATAAAATATATTATCTTAATTTAAAAGACTAAGGAAGGTGGGACATCTAAGATACCAAATTAGAGGAGGTCTCTTTTCTTTGGGATCTGCAAATGCAATGTGTCCTGTCTAGGGATGAAGGACACGACATCCTGTACTAATTTGACTCAGTGTCTATTTCTGTCATTTTGCAAGAACTCATCCAATGGAGCAATCTAAACTCTGGCAGTTGGCAAAGTCTCTTGAAACATTTTTTATAATTATTCTTTATTAATAATAACTCAGAAGTCAAATATTGAGGTAAGATTCTGAATGATCAGAGAAGTGGCAGAGAGAAGGCCAGTGACCTCCTTTGTCTCTCTTTCCTGGATCCAAAAGAGAATCTTTCTAAATTTCTCCATTTTACTTCCCATGTCTCTCTATATGTCCTTGCTCTCCCAAAACCTCTATGGCTAATTTTGGTCTATTATTAGCTCACTCTGCCTTCTAATTCAAAGAAAACTTTATTGGCAGTCTCAGGATTGTCAGAATACAACCAAAATATCCCGCAATAGTCTCTTCTAGAAGTTAGCACCTGAAATCTGCATGCTACACTAATGAAGATGTAAGAGGAGATCTGGAGCAAACACCTTCACAGCTGAATTCCTGGCCTGGAAAGAGGTTTGGGATTAACAATGGACAGCTGCCATATGCTCTTTGCATCCTATGAATTTACTCCAATGGTATCCTACTAGCCAGAAACCCAAGGCTCTCATTAGATTTTTCTTTCTCCAAGACCCATGTGTTTCCCAACCCCCGCCAGTCTCAACCCTGCAGAGGCCAGACAGGATGAGGTCAGGCCTTTTTCTCCTCCTCTGCCTGGGGCTCTGATCTTGAAGTCCACATCCTGCAGAGAAAAAAGAGACTTCCTGAACTGGGTAAGCAGTTTAGCCGTACTCCAGGACAGCAAGCCTTGAACACTGTGCTGGGAGACTGCGAAATTGGCAGGTGAGTGTACCCAGCTGAGTCCAGGACTGTGGGTTCTGTGGGGTTCACCTTTAGAAGGCACACACTGAGTCCAGGAGATGGAAAACTGGGACTTTAGGATTAGGAAAAGAAATAGAGGAAAGGTGATGTCTAGTGGGTGTTTATAGAGGTGACTTCTTGGGAGATCCCATTTGGGCAGTGGTAATGATGTTAATCTTAGGGCTGGGGTCCTAGAACTTTATGGATCCATCTCAGTCAGGCATAGACACTGCAGGGTCTCAGTAGACTTCTCCTCTGTCCTCTGTCCTGTTTCCTCTCGGGTCCTACCACCTAGCCCATTTGACTAACTTTGCCCTCTACTCAAGGATCTGCAAAATAGTGTCTCTTACTTCTGGGCCCTTCTAGATAAGCAGGCTCCAGGCCAATATGAGAACCTCTTTGTTTCCATTTTTAAAATGCCACCACATGTTGACTGAACACTCTGATCACAAACTTTACCTTGAGCATGCTTCAGGAGCGTAGAATCAGGGTGTCAGACTTCTCCACTGCCTTCAGAGAGCTCTGAATATCTTAGGGACAATAATCAGTAAGAGAAAGGAGTGCACTTAGGAGCGAAGAAAGAAATGGTTGAGGCAGAAGGATTAGAGTAACACAGCAGGGACCCTGAGGTTGTCATTTCGCAATGAAGGAGGGATGGTTGAGTAGCTGGAACTCAGTGACAGTGAAGGGGTAGATGAATTTCTCAGTGAAATAAACACTTCAAGGATTCTATGTAATTTTAAAGCGGCATCAATCCACTTGGGCAAGAATGCAGGGGTGGCAGAAAGGCCAGAAGAGGGGATCATCCTGAGGGTAAGTCATTGAAATAAAGCAGCCCCATCTTTCCCGAAAAGCATTGGAGGAATTATGGGGAATAGCAAAATGACCTGGGCACTCTCTCAGGATGCTGTGTCCTTCTGTCTGGGGAGAGGGTAGAAGTATGAGTTGTGATGTTCTGAGGCTCCCTAGGATAGGCGATCTGCATTTTAACACAGAAGAAAGCATTCTGGCGCAAGCTCCCAGTGTTCAAAGGTCATAAGGCATCGAGAGCACAGTCATGGGATGTGCAGGGAGTCAGATTTCGGTTAGGGTGTTAGGAGAAGTCACTTATTCTGGGTCAAGCCTTCCATTCACCAGGGACTGAGGAGGCATGCTCAATAGAGAAGCAGCCTGGATAGCATTGCCTGATCAAGGCCACCTGAGCAGCCACTGCAGGAGGTTGCCCCCTGCTGCACAGCAGAGCTAATGACACCACCCTGCCTTTGGGTCTCATTCAGCATCTCAGGGTCTTTCCTGTAACAACTACAAACGTGGAGACACTGTCTAATTCACATCTGGACATCTCAGAGGAGTCCTCACAGGCACACACAGAGCTTTGCTGAAGCTAGACTAGAGGACCTGGATGCTCATGGTTGTTTTCTTCTTCCTTCCTCTTCTCTTCTTCCTCCTCATTATTCTCAACTCTGCCATCTGCAGAGAGAGGACCTGGACTGTATGGAAGGAGACTAGAGTCCCCTTCTCTCAGTTGTGTCTTTGTGTGTTGTTCTGATGATCTGAACTTCTACCTGTGCAGATGGAACACGTGCTAGTTTGGTCTGCTGCCATGGCCACACTTAGCTAATAACCTTAAAACTGGATGGATTGTGATTGAGAATAAAATTTTAAAACGCACTTAAGTACTTAGGAATTTTGAAATGAGAACCAGGAGTAGAGTCCCAGATTTCCCTGAGTCAGATCAGGGAACCTCCAGCGCTGTACTGAGTACCATTTCTCCTTTGCCTCCAGACTCTGCATCATGAACACTCTGTCTGAAGCAAACGGCACCTTTGCCATCCACCTTTTAAAGATCCTTTGTCAAAACAACCCTTCGAAAAATGTATGTTACTCTCCTGTGAGCGTCTCCTCTGCTCTAGCTATGGTCCTCTTGGGGGCAAAGGGAGACACTGCAGTCCAGATATCTCAGGTAAGTTCCCTATCACCTGACACCTGTTTTACTTGCCTAAGAGTTGCTGAGAAGGGAGGGCCAGAATACGTACACCTTGTTTCATGGGGCAGGAACCAAAGATGAATGGAACCATATTCTCCTCCAGTATGATCTCTTTAAAGAGCATTGAGTTTTCCTGTGTAAAACTCTGAGGGATCTTGTGGATTCCTCTTACAAAATGGAGCATAAATAATTTCATGCTAAAACCTGGTGGCATAGACTTTAATCCCAACTGCCAAGAACACTGAGACAGGAGGATCCCAAGGCCAAGGTTAGCCTGGGCAAGTCAGTTTCAAAAGAAATGGTCTTTGTGTTGTTGGTTTCTTGTTTGTTTGTTTATAACTCCACTCTCTTGCCTAGCGTAACTGAGGAAATAGGTTCAGTCACAATACTGCAATGAGAAAAAGAGATGTTACAATTATTTGAAACATGGGTTGCTGTGTTCTAACTTATTTTCAGAGCAATATATTTTCAATAATTATTGGCAAGGAAGGTGAATTCATAATCTTATCTCTTTAAATCCCAAACCTCCCTGCATTAAATACTCATGTAATTTACTATGTATTATACTCATGTAATTTATTATGTGAGCCATCCCTTTAGCTTGAAAATTCCTTTGAAATCAAAATGTTTCTCACTGAGCCCACAGTATTTCATTCTTTTCCTCCACAGGCACTTTGTTTAAACACAGAAGACGGCATTCATCAAAGCTTCCAGAGGCTTCTCAGTAATCTGAACAAGCCCAGCAGAAAGTACTTGCTTAGAATGGTTAACCGTCTCTTTGCAGAGATCACTTATGAATTCCTCCCAGTAAGTTGTATCAGTAGAATGCCATCAATTTTATTCAAATACTTATTGCTAAAGATTCCTATTGAAGGACTCTAGAGAAATTTAAAAAATTAAGAGACAAGTTCTAGCTAATGTTATGATATGCATCTGTAACATCTGCATTTAGGAGGCTGAGACAGGAGGGTCATGAATTCCAGGACAGGGTAGACTATATAGGGGTACTCAACTCCATAACGTTTCCCAAAGATGACAATTCTATAATGATACCTTGAAATATTTTAAATCTGACACTTATAAGTTTTATTTATTTATGTCTGGTCGTTCCCACTTACAAAGGCCTAGTACATGAAGACATTTGTTACTTAAAATGATATCTACACTCACTTTAGTTTATTTTTTAATGCCTTAGTATTCAGAGTGTTGGGATTCTTGCTGACACTTTAATTTTCAGTGTTACCTCTCTGAACATTTTCTCTTCAAAGACCTACAAGGAGTCCTGTCTTCAGTTCTACCACTCGGAGCTGGAGCAGCTGTCCTTTGCCAAAGATCCAGAGAAGTCCAGGAAGCACATAAACATGTGGGTCTCCAAACAGACTAAAGGTCAGAATTTCAAGTTATTTCATACCCCATATTCTTGTCCTTTCCATCCACCCTCCCTCTTCTTCCTTCCCTCCTCTTTCTTACCTTTCCCTTCTCCCCACTCCCATGGACTAATCTCATGTTATTTCAGAGAGTTAAAGCAATGCAGACTAACATCATTATGTGTGGTATAATTCAGACCTCACTGAATTCATGGAAGCTTTATTCTAGCTCTTAGATTTAAAAAATACAGTTACTTGTATATTTCTTCAGGACAGAGTGGCTGATACAAATGTCATAAGAAATCATGGGCCTGACTTTTCAGTCTTAGCAGTTTGCATTAGAAGGCAGGGGGTGCTGTGGGGTCAGCAGTGATAAGAAGGGGTTATTTGGCTGTGGTAGGATATGCCTATAATCCCAACATTCGGGAAGCTGGGGTAGGCAAATCTCAAAGAGGCTACCCTAGGCTTCTCAATGAGGTCAAGAGGAAAAAGGATGTCAACAGACAGGGAAAGGACTTGTGGTCTGAAGCCCTGTGGACTAGGGCATAGATCTCACACTTGACATGAAAACAGTTAAATTTGCAATTCCAGTGCAGTACAGAACAGGAGAAAAACATGCTCCTACCATTCAAGCTTGGCATTCGTCCAGAAAGAAGGCACTCTGAGAAAAAGTCCATCAGTTAACACGTGGCAGTAGTGGTTTAGGTGTTTGCCAGAAGAGATTAGCATGTGTAAAGGTATCATTGTGTGTGGCTGCTAATGGTTCATGCATGAATTTCATTTTACCTAAGTAAAATGTATTTAATGAGGAGCTGTTTGTATGGATCTGGAATCAGTCTATCTGTGGAATTCATCATATATATATAAAATGATGTCACAATTAAAAAAAAGAAGACAGGGGTGGTCTGCACTGTTGGCAGGTCATGTGACTCCACTACCTCTGAGATGGAGATTCATGTGGAGATCTTCCCCATAATTTTACCCTGGGCTGGTTCTTCCTGCAGTCTGTGTTGTCTGAGCTCCCACCACATTTACCACTGTTTCTGCTTCCACATTTACTGCTTCAGAGCCCTTACTTATATTTTTTTGATGAAACTGGACATGACTTCCATTGGAGATACTCTGTCAGGCCTGCTCAGTTACATTAACCTCAATGAGCCTTCAACCCCTTGCAGTAGGGGTTGAACTTTATTTGTTTTTGGTTTAGAGATGACATGCTCCAGAATTGGTCTTTGAAATCATTGAGATCATTGTCTGGTAGTTGAACATTTCAGATGCCTCTGGATACATTCTTTTTTCTGAAATGAAATGAAGTGAAATGAAATATATACCCTGGTCATGCTGAAGCATGTATGGGCAGCCCATTATATAGCAGTTCGTTGAACTTGTCCATATGAGATTTCATGGTCTAAATTTACCAGGTCTCTTCCTCAAGAGGGTACCAGATCTCATTAGAGATGGTTGTGAGTCACCACATGGATGCTGGGAATTGAACTCGGGGTCTTTTGAAGAGTAGGCAGTGCTCTTAACTGCTGAGCCATCTCTCTTTTATGTGTACTCAGCAAATATTTGACAATTCTTCTTGTAGTCTTTACCTATTGGGCACACTTGACATAGCAAGTTAGCGA